GGATCTCAGTAGAGATACAAAAATGATAAGCAACAGCTAAAAAGTAAACGTAAGTAAACAGCCAGAAATAGAACCAGAGCTTTCGGACAACACTAGTCCTTCCTCAGTGGCGAGTGAGTGAGGGTTGAAAAAGCCAGATAGTATAAAGTGAGAATTTAATGTAAACATGATTAGAAACAATAGGCTAGGTGGGATTAGAATAAACAGCCTAAACAAGTAAACAGGAAGGCCAAAACTAAACTTTAGAGGCATGCCTCAATAAATAAGCCAAATGATTTATCCAGAATAATTTGGAATGCCATAGGTTTAATTTAGTGTACAGTACTGGGAGATATTATATAACCGTCTTGGTCTATTCAACATGGGTGCTATGGACGACTTAGGGCCTATTTTTAAAACGAATGTGTTATTATACTCATTTCAACTCATTTTCAGGTGATTTGCAGATAAGCTACGTTATATTCTCTAACGGGATGTTGTTCTCATCACCTTCGACATCTGGAGCCAACTCATCTGTAGAAGTCATGAGTCTAGTTCTGTCAGTCTCTGTTCCAGACACTCAGGTGACTAACCTCCGGGATCCAGTGACGATGTCGTTTGGGATACCTCCGGTACGTGGCCTATGTTGTACCTTTTCTTTTCAATTCATAAAGGTCGTTATTGTGTTCCTAGCCAATTAACTTGTGAACAAAAAATTGTTTGTAAAAATATTTAATAGTGAATTTTGGAATGCTTATATATTTTTCTATTTCATGTAAACCACCATGTTAAAAAGTTCCACTGATATACAGGGTCAACATATACTAATATGTTAAACTATAACAAATAGATTGGTATGGATTGTCCGGTGCCATACGAAGGTCGGTTTTATCAAAGTTTCCTCCTCTTTTAACTTGGAGGGTGAATCTCTCTTGTTGCAGTTAGTGTAAACATCACAATCTTCGAACGTTGTTATGTTGCACTAGTTATACAACGTCTTAAAACGATAAATCACTACAAATTCTAAGTTCATTTCATTATTTATTTGATCCAAAAGACAAAATGGTGAGACCAACCAAAGTGAACTGAATCCCCAAAGCCGTTTTATTTTATTTCTCCTTAATGTAAGCTGACATTTTCACAGTAAAATTAATATTTCCTGTTCTTAGAGTAAGTCTAATTACGACAACGCCACCTGTGTCTACTGGGACTTTACTTTGCAAAATGGCATCGGTGATTGGTCATCTGATGGGTGCGTCATAAACTCAACGACTGGTGACGTCATAATTTGTGATTGTAATCACCTGACACACTTTGCCGTCCTCATCGTAAGTTTATGGATAGTCCTTGTATTGATATATAATAATAACATATTGTTCGATTACAAATATCAATAATTATATATTTTTTAACAATGTTTTGTGAGGGTTGTTTGAAGGTGATACAGTACTTTAAATCTCCAATACATACAGAACAATTGAACTCTAATTATTGTTCTCTGATGTATCATTCATTTGATTAAAAATTTTGAATTAATAAACATCAAATAGAAATAAAATAATGATAATTAAAAACCAGTAATAATAATTAATTAAACGAAAGCTTATAACAGAACCTTCAAAATAATTAGTAAATAAAACATACATTTTTAGATTTACTAGCAATCCCTAACTCTAATTATTATTATTGTTTCTTCCCATAGGAATTCAGAAAGAAAGATGCACCAATAGAGGTTCTGTTTGCTTTGACTGTAATCAGTAGAGTTGGCTGCTTGGTCTCCATCGCTTGTCTTACAGCCACGCTGATTGCATTTCTCTCATTCAAGTATGTCATGAATGTCAGTATAGGCCCCAAGTTGTACTTGTATAAGTATAATTGATGATAAATACTGGCCATAAGCCCCCTTCCCCTAGTCTAAATAAATAATAGTATTTATTATTATTATTATTATTATTATTATTATTATTATTATTATTATTACTGTATTATTATTACCTTCATAAACTGCCACTCATTATCCAATTACTGTATTATCATTATCATCATCATCATCATTATTATTACTACTATTACTACTGCTACTACTACTACTAGTACAGTACTAGTACTACTATTACTACTACTACTACTACTACTACTACTACTACTACTTCTACTACTACTACTACTACTACTACTACTACTACTACTACTACTACTACTACTACTACTACTACTACTACTACTACTACTGCCGCTGCTGCTGCTGCTGCTACTACTACTACTACTACTACTACTACTACTACTACTACTACTACTACTACTACTACTACTACTACTACTACTACTACTACTACTACTACTATAATCGTTTCATTATTTCCTTTATAAATATAAATAATTGGCGTCATCACATTTTGAACATAGATATTCCTCATTATTTGGCCATTCCAATCGCCCTTAATTCCAATTCAATAATGTTCAAAACTTTATATATTGGTATATGTTGTCATCCACAGGCGACTTAGGTGTGAGAGACCGCAACGGATACTGATCTCACTCAGTGTGTCTCTACTGTGTCTTTACATTATGTTCATAATTGGCGTTGAGCCTGGGGATCTGAGAAAAGAATCACAGGAGACTAAATGCTTGGTCTCTGCGGTGCTACTGCATTATTTTACTCTGACCTCTGTCTTCTGGATGGTGGTAGAGGCTGTGAATCTTTACTATAACTTAATCAAGGTTTTCAAGTCGAAAGTCTCACTGTTCATGTTAAAAGCAAGCATATTTGCATGGGGTAAGTTCTAAGTAGCAAACACGATTAAAGATATTTGATAATACAGTATTATTATATTATTAACATATTAATAATGATAATAATGATAATAATAATAATAATAATAATGATAATAATAATAATAATAATAATAATTTAATAATATTAGATATAATAAATCAGAATTATATCAATAGATAGTGAATATAATGTTATGCTAATGTTAAGGGAAATGCGTATTATTTTGTAATTACAATTTCACCAATAGCAGTGATGTCATGGATTCATATTACCCTAGGGAATGTCGTCGGTTTAGCAAAATGCTCGTACTACCATATGTTAAATAATAATAATAATAATTTTAAAAAATGTGACCTAATAACAAAATTATAGGGTAAACTGTTTTCAAAACGCAATAATTAGTAAGTACGCTAACTTATAATCAATGACGTCAATGACGTGTTTGTGGATCAATTGGAACATAAACATTGCATTTACATTGTTCGCGATTGACACACACATCATATACTTTTGGCGTTCCATGGACAGATTAGATTTCAAGTACATTCCAATGTGTTATTTTTCCTTATAATGAGCTGTTTATTTTCTGTTCTATTCTTTTTCTATTTATTTTTTTAATAACATTTTTTGTTCCTTTCATAGGAGTACCAGGCCTTATAGTTGGTGCCATGGCCGGGTGGCAGACTACAAGAGATCACTACTACAACGATAGTTAGTAAGTAGAGTATATGCAAATTTGTACTCTTTCAGATCCTGTGTAGGACCTACTCTACTCTATGTCAACTTGCATCCTATTCTCAAATATCAGTAGTCCCTGTACTTGAAGGTCTATCTAAGAATTATCCTATTTTCTTCAATATTAATTATAATAATAGCACTAGTCAGTAACAGCGTAACAAATTATCAGTGTAACAATATGATAGTGTAACGGTGTAACAATGTGAAAAAAAAGTGTAACAGCGTATCATACCGATATAGCAAAAGTAATGGTAACAGACACAAACGTAACAGCAACAATAAAAGGCCCTATCCAATATATCCAAATACCACGATGGGCAAAAAGTTGTTGAAATATATATTGTTGTTGTTTTTTATGTATTGACATATAGCTTATAAAAAAAAAATATCCGGAGGATCTAGGCCTATTGATTAATTTCAAATATGATACTGTAATATATTTGTTTATCTAATGTTTTTGGATCTTACATAAAATCTGTTGGATCTTCAAATATCAGTTAAATCACTTACATTTTGTACATATTTTCATTTCAGCTGTTTTATGGCGGTCGGGTACCCATTCTACTTGACAATAGCTCTACCAGTTGCCGTATGTCTCATATTCAACATCATTGTATTTATGCGCGTTATGTGTGAGCTCATGTGCCGTCGGAAACAGCCAACAAATTCAGTCAATAATGTGTGGAAGAATATGTCAAAACGAGCCCAGAATGCATTTGGAATATCCGTATTGCTTGGTCTAACATGGGTATTCGGTTTCTTGACCTTTGACATTGATCATGACTATGTTTTCGATGTAATTTTCTGTGTTTTAAATTCGCTGCAAGGTGTTTTTGTGTTCATGTTTTTCTGCGTTCGACAGAAAGAAGTTCGAGTCACTTGGAAAAAATTTCTCTGTTGCCAGACACAGGCAGCCTATAACATTGGCTCGTCGACAGGCAGCAGTACACGCTACACTAACCGTAGTGGTCGCCCTGCAAGTGCCAACATCGACCTTTTGGCTAAACCTCATCATGAAGTGATTCAAAATGGAAGAGTAGCAGCAGCCATATACGACTACAACAAAGCATCACGTTGTTAAAGTTTGAAAAACTTATATAAAACGTGAGAAGAATTTTCCCAATGAACATTTCATGTCGTCTCGTTGTTTAAAGTGTGCATGGCTATGTCAAGGCATATATAAACAGACAGTTCATACGGCGTATATATCAGGTAGGGTTATGAATTGAAAGTGACTAACGACTGGTTGCAGTATTCGGCTCTACCAACAAGTGTATATACTGGACGCGTATTGCATAAAACATAGAAAAAAACAATACATACTTTTGTATATTTTTATGTCTACTCAGCATGGTAATGACTACTGTATTCATTTGACGGTATACAATGCATTTCCGCCATAATATTTGACTTTACAGGGTTCCAATTTAAATAACCCACAGAACTCCATGGTCTATAACTCTCTTTCTTGGTAAGATTAGGTAAACCATTCTAGTTTCCTTAATGTATATTTTTCAAATGTATTTTATTTTTATTAGAATAGATAAAATTATTTTTTATTAGGTCTATTATCATATTTTTGTATATTTATGTTTTGTTTTGTTTTTTTGTTTTTCCTTAACCACGTATATGAACAGATGGCCACTTCGATCTTGAGCTATCTGCAGGGCTGTCATTCTCTTGACGCGCTCCTAAATGAAGTTAAATATTTTGTTAAGATTTAGTTAATCAATAAATAGAAGAGGTGCCAATCGTATACTCCAAGGAACGTCCAAAATGTCTTTAATGATTATTATATTGGAAACGTCTAGAATTAGAACTGCAATCGATATATAACTATATATAAAACAACATTAAAGTTGTGAGAATACAATAATTTATGATGAAAAACATGAATTGTTTAATATGTAATTTTAAAACCCGAAGAGATAAACCGTATATAAATAATCGTAACAATTTTTAGAACATTGTTTGGCCTAATAGTTGCAATTCTAACATTAAATCACATAAGCATAGGCCTACGTATGTCGTTAAATCATCAAATTCATAAGGTCTTACCAAATTTATTCGAATAAATGCTCCGCTTTGAATAAACGCCCCCTCGAATAGACGACTCCGCCAGAGCCTCATTTGGAATAAACACCTCCCTTGAATAAACGCCCCCCTCAAATGATTGTAAACAAAACTAATGGAAGCAACATCATTCTCAACACACTATTAATATTCTGCTGCAGTAGAATTACATTTTTTCTAACCTGGTTGGGATCAAGAAGTCTTTATGATCACGCAATAACACATTTTGGGTGTTGTTTCCACATTTACAGTGAAATTAAGGGGGGTTTTATTTTAGTCCATTTTACTTCAAAAATAAATAAACGCCTCCCTAGAATATACGCCTCGCTCGAATAAACGTCCCCTCAAAACCCTTCTCAACAATAAGCGCGACAGGGCGTTTATTTGAACAAATACGGAATATGTATACCTGTCTCTTATACACATCTAGATGTGTATAAGAGACAGTATCCGTAGTGCTTTAAGTTATGTGGAGTATACAATATAGGCCAAATATACCTATTCAAACACATCATTTTGCCATTTCCTATTTGTTTATTATATATTTATGCTATATATATGCTAAATATAACATATATATATATTTATATATATATATGCGTTTAAAACATGTGTTCTTTATTCGAACACTGTTTCTGACCTTTATCTATTTGTTTACATGGAGCTATAAAATTAATAATCTAATTGTATAACTTTATGATATATAAAAAACATAATGTTCAGTGCTACACAGCAAAATCAAATCTCACCAGACAATTTTTTCATGCAAAATTAACCTTTTTCATGCTGAATGAACCATACTTTATACGTTTATAATATCTTTCTATCAGTGGTCGCGTATGATGCAGCCCGTACAGAAGTAGGTCGCTGACCGAGTATCGGACTTCGATATGTGACGATTTTGGTTTAATTCAAATTCGGTATCTTTTTACCCCTGAGAGCTTTCCATGGTATAAAACGGGCCCGTTTCTGTCTGTATCCTCTAGATCTTCAATGGACTATCCCGAGGTAGGTGACTACTCTTGCTAGCCTCAGCTGGGATTTATTTGCGGACGTCATCGCTGGGACTAAACCAGTTTTGAATTAACCTAGTCATTTCCAATTTTGAAAGGATGAATTTTAATTATCAATATTTATATTTAAATGCTCACGGATCTGTTGTCGGTACCATTGTTTTTCATAATAGTACTGTAAGGCCTGTAACGAAATATTAAACGGTAACTTCAGATTAAATTGTCTATAAATTAACTGCGTTTAAACTTTGGAGTTTTAGCCATTTTTAAATTTTGTTATCAATGATTTTACACTAAGAATTTAGTATCTGCTGCTGGGAGAGTGCCCCTTTCGGCACAGAGAGAAAACAAAACCATAATAGGTCTTACGATCATTTAGGTTGCATGAAGTGATGACTAGAAATGAACCAGGGGCGGATCCAGTAGGGGCACGGGGGGAGGGGCACCTGCCCCAACGTTTTGCAACTTAATTTTAAAATTTTCATTGCAAATCAATGCTATGTGCTACTCACTTACCTATTTTGAAACTGTTGCACCCCCACCTACCCCGTGTTTGAAAAATTCTGGATCCGCCCCTATTGTTCTTTCTATTTTTCCAGAATTTAGGCATATTTATACACAGTTGTCAGTTAGTTGTAACTTTAAGTTGATATAAAAAGGAACGACTATTAGTAGAATACATCTGAAGTTGGGGCAACTCACTTTTATTTCAAGTTGACACTGCAGGTAGCTGTAGAAATGCGTGTATTGTGTTGTTGCAACTTAACTGGCATGACGATAACATTTTCTGGAGTGAGGAGGAGTCACTAAACTGTAATTTGGTTTTCATTATAAATCTTTCGTTAGTTGGTTTTAATCATTAAACAATCATATAAATATGTTCCCAGATAATTCCACATTGCTACAGGCATATACATCATGTACATAAAAATATAAAACATGTAATAATTATGCTTCTGTTATTGAAGTCATTCAGGGGCTCTTCCCTAGCACTCTCACTCAGTTCGCACATTCATGCAACCTCTTTTTGAACGTGCTGTATCCGCCTCTGTGGACCATCATCATCATCATCATTACCATCATCTTCATCATCATCATAAACATCATCAATATCATCATAAACACAACCATCGTCGTCACCATCAACAACATCATCATCATAATCATCATCAATATCATGATAACCCCTTCCCCCACCGTCATCATGATTATTCTCGTCACCACCACTATTCACATTATCATAAAGGAATGGCGCTTTAGAAAAAGAATAATGAATTTCTTTATACCTCTCCAGGTGGAGTTTTTACATATACTGTAAACAATGCTAGACTGTAATGGAGTTGAAAGACTACGAAGAAGACAATTAATAGCAAATGTAAGTACAGTATTGAACATTTTGCATTGTTAATCCAATAGTTATAAATGAGAATTCTGTCATCATATATGTTTATTATTTGACTACGGTTGTTAGGCATTCAAGGCATAGCTAGACAATTTCCCTCAACAGAGGCATGCACTGATATAGCTGTATTCTATTCAACAACAACATACATTCCAAGTTACTCGCTAAACAAATCAAATACCTGAAACTGGCTAAAGGAACGTTCTTTAGATCTTGGGGCTTGTTAATTTTAAATATTATTTTTAAAGTTAAACGAAAGTGATAGAGGTAGGCCCAAATGATACCGTCTTTATAAATAGAGTGGTATTAGTCATGGATGTACCTCAATGATGTCGATATCAATTACAGCTACCAGCGTGGGATCCAGGAATTCGAAATAGAGGGACCCAGGGACGGGCTTTCACAAATAGAGAGTATAGACCACCTTAACCGCCATGCTCTAAATGGCCGGAAATGGAACGCTCAGACTTTAATTTAAATTTAAACTTACGGGGGGGGGGTGGTTGCACACTGGCATCAGTTGTCAAATTGTATTTCTTCGAAAACAAAGAGAAGTTTAATGTCAAATTGTATTTCTTCGAAAACAAAGAGCAGTTTACATCTTATATAAATACAGTTCGCTCTCCAATTCGAGACCACCGTTAAGACCTGAAAATTTGGGGGAGGTCTCGCGATGGTCTCCAATTAGAGTGTTAGCTTTGTGTTAAAAGGTTGAAGATTGTCATTTGGGTCTTTTGAAAAGTGGCCTCGAATTACAGGGGTCTCGGAATTAGAGGGGTCTCGAATTGGACGGTGCACTGTAGTAATAATAATATTGATAATTTAATTTACAAAGCACCGGGCGCTTAAGAGAAAACGCTCATGACGCCCCTCCACAAGAAAGTCGAAATATAAAAAAAGGAAATTCAGGAAACCAAAACAGTTTAAATACATGAGCCGTACTTGGGTGAGCGTCACTGTCTCAATGTGACTATGTGCTCCAGTAGCACATGTACGTGCTGTAAACAGCTGAACATTATTATTTGTTAAATTCAAAAACAACTTGTCTTGCCCATGTACCCCGAGTTACAATAACTTAATAATAATAATAATAGATGGATTTTTATAGCGCAAATAAACGAGGTCTCTATGCGCTCGACAACTTATAAACTAACATGGGCTCCACGACAAAAAAAAAAAACTTATTTTGCCGATCCCACTAAAGTTAGGCTATTTCGATAGCCATTCCCCAATATTGTGGTCAAAATCACATGGGCGATCCTATCTCTCCCCACGAACCCCACCAGGAATTTTATTCCGGGACGCTAAACCGAGGCTCTGGACAGTTCCTTGTTTCGGACCCTGTTTAGAGTTGTTGGACCTCTGTCTGCATTTTTTCTTATTTTTCCTGATTTACGGACAGTTTACTACTGAAATCCTTGCTTTGACTCTACCAGCCAATTTAAGTATCTATGCATATAATAAGAATAAAGCAAAGGTATTATTTAACTGCCTGTTTATTGGCAGGGGGAAATTTCATTCAGATTTTTAATTGTAATTTAATAACTTATTTAATATAAATAATTAATAAATTCGATTATGGAATTAAACTTTTCAACTTTTAGCTCATGACAGACAGTATATCTTTAAATATTATATCGTGAAAATTGTTTGTATGAAGATATAGTGATAGTATTATGTTTATATCAAATATATAAATATATATATTCATTTCTATTAAATTGTACACTTTCATATATTTTATTCATGACGATCGAATGATAACATAATTTGTTCGCGCCATTGTAATAGACCTACACAATCCCCTGAATTAATTAACCTCATTCATTTGGTGGTGTGATAATAGGCCTACTGTGGTAATTAATAAGTAATATGATAATGCCAGGGGTGGAGCCAGGATTTCCCGAGGGGGGTCCGAGTTCCCCTATCTCAGACGGGGCCGATGCCCCCGACGAGAGCAGAGTGGGCGTGGTCGAGCGTCTCTTAAAATCTTTCGAAAGTGGTCCAGGAAATTTTTGACCATTTTTTGGTTTCAAATGCTTATTTAATCGATTTTATTGTCTACTAATATATACAAAATACATATATTTTACATACAACGGCTAGAGGTTTAAGAAGAATTCACCCCTTGCAAACCTACCTTGGCTCTTTCCTAGCACTCTCACTCAGTTCGCACATTCATGCAACCTCTTTTTGACCGTGCTGTATCCGCCTCTGTGGACCATCATCATCATCCTTATTCACCATCATCTTCATCATATCATCATCATCATCATAATCATCATCAATATCATCATAAACACCACCATCGTC